GGTGAGGTCGGAGTTAATACATATAAGCCCTTACAACAGTGCCTGCCAATAATGTATGAATCATTGCTATTATTTACTCACTTAAAAACATTTTAAAACATCAGAGATTCTGGAGTCCTGCTGCCCTGGAAAGCTGTCCTCTCTTGCTCCCTTGTGGGACATCGGGGTCTACCAGCAGCTGTCAGGTCTGCGCTTCAGCGACTCTACCCACTGAGCCATCCTACTGGCCTGAGATTTTATTCTAACAAAGGTTCACAATCACAATGGTCCTTAAAATGACAGGGCTGTTACAGAATGTATATAATCTCTGACTAAGTGAGCAGAATCAGCAGTCTCCTGCAGTGTACTATTTCACAGCCTTCTTCTGAAGATTGAGTCCAGATTTAAACACTCAACTTTGAAAGAAACCAAAAACCTAGAAATGTGCTTGGGGGAGAGCACCAGGAATAACCAACATCAAATGAAGGACAGTTAGAGAAGCTGGAACCCTGACCTGGAAAGGACGAGGATGAGAGGTGGCAGTCTAAACGGCTACCCTTCCTCTGTTTTAAACAGGAGGACAGAGAAGAGCAAACTCAGCCCCATAAGAAAACTATGTAACAAACAGCAAAGGCACTCCGGGCAGGAATGGCAACTTCCTAAAACACAGACACAAAGTGAAAACCCAACTGTGCTCCTAAGCAGGGCTAGCACTTTAGGTAGGTTAGACTTCACTGGGCCTACAAAAGTCTCTTTCACACTGAAGACACACAGACTAATCCAAAACTGCAGGTGACTGCAGAGATGGCAGGGACAGGAGAGAGGGAAGGCAGGAAGCGGAAACTGGAATCAGGAGGCCCAGCTCTCCCTGCATCAGCACAGCTCAGTGCCCCACTCTCGGTCCTTCCCACCCTTTGGGACTCAGATGTCCTCCCATAAACTCCACACTTGGGAACCTCAGAAAGGCTGTCAGGAAAACTCTCCTTGTAACTAAGCTCTTCAGTGACACGGGTCACTGCATTTCCTGCCACCTCACACAATGCACAAAGTGGAGTGCACTTCCCTTCCTTCCCCCTGGAAACCCCTCTCCCTCCTACAGAGTTCCTACTGATAAATTTATCAGAACAACTGATAAATCCACACAGATACATTATTGCTAACAAACTCACATTCTGCATTAGGGTTCATTTCACTGTGAATGCTACTGTCTGGGAGTTTCATCAATATATGACACAGAATTTGCCTCTACCTTTAGAAGTAAATGTGTGACACGCTCATTATTAAGCAATCTCCTGAATACTCATCTTACAAAACAAACTCTACAACCACTGAACAATGTATTTTTTAAGCATAATACTAGAAAACAACTATTTTTCAAAATCTGTTTTCACGTAATTTTCTTAATTCTTTTCTAATCTAAAAATTCTAATTTATCATATTACTATAACAAATAACCATAAAATGTTGATTTTCACTTTAACATCAAACTATTTATTTACTCAAAATGCTATTTTATATATCCTGTAAGGGGCAGGAATGTAACTAAGAAATTGATTCCTTTAAATCAATTTGACATCCACAATACTATGTGTGATCTTACCAAAATGCTTTACATTTCTAAATACCACAAAAATAATAGTCAAACTGAAAAGCTTTACTGAGTTTTCACTTGCAGGGTGGAAGGAGAAAACTAGAACAAGAAGTGCCTGGCTAACCGGTGTCTAACCGTTTGGACTGCAGCGATTTCTTTCTCATCCTGAAAGGGAGGCCTTCTGTAATGAAATCCAGCCCATCTGATCATTTTGTACTGTAGAAGTACACAGACATCACATTGTAACCTACTAATTGTATAATTATCTGTTCCTTTCAAATGCATTTAAAGAAAAGAGTAAGATCCAGCGTATACTGAACAATCAGTTCATTAGAATTTCATTTTACAAATATTTTGAACATCTTTAATCAGTTAAGTCCTGTTTCACCTCTCTTTAGGCTAATTCTTCATTATACACACACATGCATCCCATCTTCTCTAGCTTTCCGTTGCTTCTAAATTCGAGTCATATAATTGGTCTGTTTCTCAATGTGCAATCTAAAGTACAAGGCAAGATTAGCACCAGAGGCCCCACTAGCCTCTTCCAAAGGGAAACCATTGACTGTGTCAACACAGTGATGAGCACGCTGCAGCAGAGGACCAGGCTCAAGCCCTACTGACGTAAGAACAGCAGAACTGAGCCTGGAAGCGCAGGCTCCTAATCTAGCTACTTGGGCGTCTGAGGCAGAAGGATTGAAAGTTCAAGTTCTGCCTGGGCAAAGTGAATTTCAGGCCAGCCTGAGCAGCTTAGTGAGACCATCAAAATGAAGAACTGGCCGGGCGGTGGTGGCGCACGCCTTTAATCCCAGCACTCGGGAGGCAGAGCCAGGTGGATCTCTGTGAGTTCGAGGCCAGCCTGGTCTACAGAGCGA